GCTGATCTTAGCTTTTGCGTTAAATATCGTTGTTATTGAAAAAAATCAACTTCCAAGCAGGAATTAAAAAAATCAATTTCAAATTCCAGTATTTAAATATGGAAGAGAATTTTTTCTCACTTTAGGTCTTGTGTTTGTAAGTTAAAAAAATCAAAGTACGATGGATGTCCTGCCCAAAATGACACAATATGGCGAAGCGTAAGGTACAACTGATGAAATATTGATTAGTGCTATAAAATGATTTTATTTTAATATATATCTATGTCAGCAAAACTATTGATAATTTTCAGGAGAAGCAACAGACTCATTATCAGAATAATTTGTATGAGGTATATGATTATTGCGTTAAATCCGCGCTATGTTAAAACAATGGGTTTTTCCTATTACTCATGAATCACTTTCAGTACTAAATCTTTCATTGTGTGTAAGATAGAAATTATTCGCCTACCAAATTTTGATAAGTATAATATATATATAATTTTAATTAAGTGACAATTAAAATTTCTAAATCACATTAAATCACGCACGGTATAGCGGAAATTTGTAAGCGGCAATGCAATATTCTTCCAGTAAATTTTTATTTCGATAGGTAACACTAAAGTTTTGCTATTTTCTATCTAACTTGATGGAACAGACGTTGTCCTCAAACACCTTCCCACCCCCAATAAAAAAACTTAAAATCTGGTATATTTTTCTTCAAGGCGATTTTGAGATATTTGCAGTTAGACACACGCTCGTGCATATTTTTCAAAATTTATTTGCTCTCTATACTAGTATATAATGCTCTCTCCTAGAAAAGAAAATTCAAATTATTTATTGAAACTCTCCATCGCCAGTCCAAAACCCGTTAACTTGAATACTTTTATGAATAAATTGAACTCCATTGATATTGATGACTTCAGCGACATCCAGAATCCCAACACATGTTTTGAAAAATTCTTCGATAACTTTTCTATCGCTTACTAGTCTTGTCCGTACAGGAAACGAACAAACCGAATAACCACACCTTAGTATGATACTGAGCTACGCAAACTCGAGAAAGTCAAACAAAAACTTTGTGAAAAACTGATTAATAATAAAAACGTAGATGACAAGCACAATATAATGCATTCAAAGATCTTTATGCCAAAAAAGGAATCAAATTATTATATATCTAAATTTGCCTCTCACAAGGGCACAGCATCAAAGAAGTTCAGAAAACAATTAATGAACTAACTGGTAAAAATAAAACCAATTTTTGTCCTTTCGTTGGACTGTGTTGCAGTAGTACAATATTTGAAAATAAATTCAATGAACACTTTTTTTTTATAAATGGCACAAAATTTGCTTGACAATATGCAACCAGCTATCTACGAAAAAACTGCGTCTCTTATCTAAAGAAACAAGAATTCTCATCGATGTTTTTGAAGCCAACTATATCTTTGAAAATCAAATACACGAACTTAAGCCCATGTCAAGTTTTGGAATCGGTGGTATTCCATTCAAAATATTAAAATATGTTCCGGCACATATCATTAATATCATGGCATATATATATATATATATATATTCAACTTATCACTATCTGGTGGATTAGTTATTGAAATCTTCAAGACATCTACAGTTTTTCCTCTTTTTGTTAGTATTTCAGATCATGGAAACTAGAGAGTATAGACCCATTAGTCTTCTACCATCTTTTGTAAAATTCTTTGAGAAATAATGTATATCAGAATGTTAAACTATTTTGAAAGCAACAATCGTATCATTTTGGTTTCTGCAAGTAACACTCTACTGGCTGCTAATATTTTGGTACACAAACTAACCAAGGCGTTTAAAGGCAAGCGACATGCCATTAGAATGGTTCTTGACATTTATAAAACTTTCGACAGTCTACTTTTAAATAAAATGTTTAATATGATTAGCGCGCCTATTGTTCAGCAGCACATTATTCAAGATGATAACTTATTTTCTATCAATTCATGCTTATATGCCATTAGATTGGATACTGTTTTTTTAGGTAATAAAAGTGTGATAAATTACAATGTCGATTCTGCTGCTATATAGCTAGGTCTACTATATACGAGGCATTGCGAGATATATAAAAAAAAAACTGAAACATGGCCGCATGGTCATCTGAGTTGAAGTAAGTCACAACCCTGAAACAAAATGTGGCGTTTTTAAATTTTAATATTGTATCTGCAATACGAATACTACTAAATAAATAGTTAGTAAATAAACAACAATATAGACGTTCGGACCCGAACTAATTCAACAAATTTCAAATTTTTAAATGGGGTTGTAGTAATTTCTAAATTTGTTCTCAGCAAAGAACATAAAAAAATCCGATATTTTTAATTAGATCTCGCGGCGAAATTAAATACCAAGGTGGCCAACAGACTACTTCTCAAGCTTAGTGAAACAGTTATAGTCAATGTCAAATTAGATAAACATTTCGATCAATATTTTTTGTATGGAGGATGATGTTGATTTGCATTGATTTTTAATATTGCACTTTGAATACGAAAACGAAGTATATTGGAAAATAGTATTGCGTATTTCGCAATAGACTAAACACAATGCTTGCCCAATATCGAAATCTTTGGTCGCTATCTTAAGTCTCACTTGCCAATTCCGAGCCGCTTCCTAAAATCAAAAGTTTTGATCTCGTATCCAGCGTTGCAGGGATTAATGAGTTCATTATTTATTGTCGAATCGGGTAAAGCCCCAGTCTAGCCCGTGGTATTCACTAGAATGTGATGCGACAAAAACCACTGAATGAATCTCAACTTTGGAATCGTGATATAGAGACATTAAAAAACAGTACTAGGATAAATAAGGTCAAATCTGACATTCTCTCTTTGCTTTAGATTGAGATATGGAATTTCTCTAAAAACTAATTGTAGTTCTTGGCTAACTCAGCATACGTAGTATTGGCTCAATAATAAGTTTTTTAGTATTTGCTCAATCGCAAAACTTGTTCGTCAGTTGCATTTGAGATTTCCTGAATTTGAGATTTCCCAATTTCCTATCGCCAATTTTAGACAAAATTCCAAATGAACTGAATTCCGAATCCTCTTTCCCGAATTCTGAAATGTGCTGATATTGTTCTATTTTATAAATTGTGGCGAAATTTTGGATTGTGGAATCTATTGTATTACATATTTTTTTTATTTCATTCAATATCACAGATCATATCCAATCATTTGCCATGGTCATTTAGTGCAAATCCGTACAAATCACTGACTAGCCATTGTATGTAATATTGCTGCCAAATTTGGTGCCAAGTTTTTTCACGACCAAACTCAAAATTTACAAAAATATTTTAACGGAGTTTGTTCACTGGGATCTAAATATTAGTGTGTCAGTGGAGATATGCAACTCATCCCTCAGTCAAATTTTTAAATAAAGTCGATAATTGTATTTGGTCTTTATTTTACATTTTCATCGAGTACATTTTTAAGCAAATTTATAAAATGTGAATTTTTGAATATATTTATATCCAAAATTTACCAAACACTCAGAAAAACGTTGTTGCTCTTGTTTATTTGCCTCACAAATATAATTTTATCGAAGCTGAGACTTCCGTTTCCTAGATCTCAGCTCATACGGTTAAAAACGGAAACAGCCATGGCAATTTTTTCGTCTGCACTTCAACCGGTTTAAATATAAAGCGTCAGTTTTAGTTTTTGAATTAAACGTTATATTTATTATGTTTAGTGAATAATAAGTTGAGGCCAATTATGTATTACATCTTTACTGCCGAGATTATGACCGAAGGAATGTCAAATGAAAGTAGCAATCTTATAAAAATAAATGTCAATCATATATATATTTCGAATTCAATTCAAAAGTCTTGCTGCACACGAACACAAATATATTTCTGTAACGTTTCGTCTGACCGAGGTCAGACTTCTTCAGACAAGCATTTTACAACTATAACAAGTAACGCAATTGCATGCACATAAATATTGGTTTCAAATGTTGGGTCTGTTTGCGATAGAGAGATATAAATAAAATTGGGACAGTGCCAGAACAATAGGGAAGCTAAATTTGATTTAAAATCAATAGATACCACACAGTGTAGTGAGTGACAATTAAAAAGAAAATTAAACAATTCCATGCTGTTATCCCGTAACTCCGACTGTGGTATCTCCTAAGTTCATTTAAGGGTCATGGCTGCAATGTAAGGAAATGACTTAAACCGCGAAATAGAAATCAAGTGTAAGTGACAATGAAATGTAATGTTCAAATTAGCATAAATTGTGAATTTATCCATCTCTTAAGTTCATCCCTAGAGGTTCTAATGTTTTGAATTTGTTAATAAAATAGGTTTCTTTCGTTTGCCGGTATACTTGATCTCGATATAGTTTTTCTATTCCAATTACCAGAAAGTCGTTGATGGAATGGCCTGATTGATTGAAATGTTTGCCAACTGCAAGATCTTTGTTTTTTTGATTGATGCTTCTAATATGTTCTGTAATTCTGTATTTTAAATGTCTGCCTGTTTCACCGACGTACTGCATGCCACATTTTCTACAGGTTATCAGGTATATGACATTTTCTGAATTGCACGTTATTCTTTGATTGATGTTCATTTGAAGACTTGTGACGCTGCTAGTGCTTGTTTTAGTTTCCTCTGAATATTTGCAGGTTGAGCATGATTTTCTGTTGCATTTATAGAAGCCTGATTTTAC